GGATGTATAGAGTAACTTAACATACATATAGCATATAAAAATTAGCTTTTAGAAAATTCATTATTCCAAGATATGCGCTTTACAAATTTGGAAAGTCACATCATCAACGAAGGATTTTGCTCATATATTTGATCAAGTAAACATTGATAATCATATTTCCTTTTTTATATAATTTATACGTGACATCGTCAAGAATACTCATTGTTGCTATTAGTGATGGGAAATAAATGTTAGATGTATTTATAAAATATCGAATATTGATATTATTTAATAAATATAATTAAGTCAAGTGATTTTTATGATCTTTATAAATAGAATTGTCAACAATTTTAGATGTGATGTTATCGTTAGATCAATGAATTGATATGTAGCTGCATTGATCTCATTAGTCATTTTCGTTCTTTATATTCTATTACTATTTCACCTAAAGAATAAAAACAAAATTCAACTTTTCTATTCTTCTCAAAAAAGAATTGCATTTGTTACTCATAGTACTTTCTTTTGTGTCTCTATGTATGTATACTTTGAGTTATACAATATATATCACAATACATGAATGTGCATGACCTTCTGCGAAGTTTTTTATTAATAACATGAAATAATAAATAGACAAATGTTATATATATATTGGATATTTCTACAAATCAGAAAAAAATTTTATTGTAAACCTCGCATAAAAGAATCATAGTCAGGTGGTGCATCATCATCATTACATATTGATTGTTCAGGATTTGACGAATAAGAAATACTTAAAGGATTAAATGATTGTTGTTGACTTAAATCAGAATTGCATTCAGTTCCTAGAGTTATTGGAACATTAATATGAAAATTAGTAAATATTCCTTCAACTTTAACTGTAATTTTAAGCATATAATAAATATGAACGAAAATGTTTGGGTTTTCTTCTTGAAATTTATATGAAGGAGGAAATCGTAGAGAAGGAATTTTTATTGAAAAATTTTCCATTATATGTTCATTTGTTAAATTTACAATTTTTGGTAATATAGTTTTATGTATAATACATTCATCGAATATTTTTACAATTCGATAACATTGTAATATTGAAAGATTACAATGTAGAATTAAAATTTTTCGTGGATTTTGAATTTCTAATGTAAATTGAATATTTTCACCAGAAACATATCCTACTTTATTAAAAGTTGCCTTTAATTTAATACCTTTTCTATTGTCGAATTTGAATATAGATGGTAATAAACATTGAGGATTTTCTAATAAATTAACACGTGGATGTACTGTTAAATATTTTCTATATTTTATATTTGATGTATACCATGGTTTCTTAATAACAAGTCGTAAAAAATATCGAACATGTGGAAATGTATCAGGTTGATTGATAGTTGGTGGAAGATTATCAATTAATGGAATTTGAAATAACCATTCATAACGTCCACGATCGTAAATAAATTCTTGTTGTGTTATACTAGGCTCAGATAAACTAACTTTTTTATAATAAAATTGAGTCGTATAATTTTCACCTTGTGCTAAATTTCCACCTATACCATTTGCAGCAAGTTTAGTTGTATAACCAGTTTCACCGATCAGACTTATATATATTTCACGTGTTTCAAAATTTTCTTCTGTAATATATAATCTAACTATTCCAGATACAGTTTCACCAGAATAATAAAACAAATTATTTCGATCAACATCAATTGTAATTGCATGACTGTTATCATTGCCCATATTTTATTTATTTTATTTTCAATTACACTCTGTAATATATATATATATATATATATATAAGTTTTTTTCTCGTAAGTATAGGTCGCAGAGATAAATCAGCAAAATGAGATATTATTATTCATTTAAAGTCGTTAGAGAATAAACACCAGTGATGATGATAATGTACATTCCAAAAATTTAGTTCTAGTAGTATTACGACCAATGAAACACTTAGATATGAGTCATTTCATGGTGATGTCAGATATTTTCCATGTCAGCGTGAACGGCTAACGAGTACTCATTTTAGAGGTTAGTAATGAGATCATGATGGAATCGACAACACTGATTATCTGAAGTTTAGTCTGTCATTTTTTATACATATTTAATGTTTTCTAGTGTAATTTGTAATGAAAATAAATATTTCTTTTTTAGATCAATTTATAAATTTCGTCTCTTTTGGTATTTTAGAATTGATCGAATAAAAACTTTAACAATGAATAATGTCTAACAAAAAACTGTTTATTAATATATTAAAAAACTGGTGTTAAATTTTTTATATTAATTTCTTGTAAAATTAAACTGTGTCTTCTTACTTTTTTTTTGAGTTGAATGTTTTATATATGTTGTAGTTTTTTTTTTTATAACAAAAAAAAAATATTCGTACTTTTAAAATTGCTGTTGTTTTTAACTTAATGCAAGCTTATTTATTTTTTATTTTAGTTTTCTATTTGATTGTTATGCTTTTATACGTATGAATAATAATATTCCTAGAATCGAAAAGAATATATTTTAATAAAAATAGCAAAAATGAAAAGATAACGGAAATGTATGACTTCATCATTAGTGACATTGAACGAACAATGATGGGATTCGGTTGCATTTTGCGGAATCGAATAAAGTGAAAAAGCCTGAAAACTTATAATGACTTGATGCAGCCTTCGGGGGTGTGAGTGTGGATGAAGGGAGTACCTATATCCACACCCACACCCCACCCTTCTTCTATCTGCTATAATAGTCAGAAAACAACTACAACAAACTTCTGAAGAATAAGACACCAGCACATTTATGAGTATTGCTCTACTTTTTTCTTAATGTTTCTCTTTTTCACGGGAAATTCAAGGATCGCGCTTATTTCGCTGAAAAAAATATGGTTGTGGATAAATCGATGTGAATATGAGTAGCATCTTTAATCAATTACGGTACTGTATCCGTAATTAATCAAAAGAATATACTTGTCACTGATCTTTAGGAAGGCATCAATACTAAAAGTTTTCATTCTATATCTATCTTCAATACAACGAATTACCGATTTAACCCTTTAGGGACGGTTGGCCCCCTAAGGGGCCATGGTAATTCTCTAGCATTTCAAAACACACAGATTCCTATATGAGATTAGTTTTCGTGAAAGCATCTATCAGAGAGTTTTTTGGTATAATTTGGATTGTAATTTGGTTATTTTATTCAGATATCCAGTAATGGATAATAAGTTCTTTTAGAATATAGAAGTGTTGATTGATTTATGATGAAATATACAGAAAAAAAAACCCGTCCCCAAAGGATTAACTAGAAGAAAACTTAAGAAAACACTTAACCGACTACATTTAGACCAAAACTTCTAGAGAAGTTTCATATACCATTTAGGATTGTTATATAGACTATGTCTCTTGATTTCTTTCTAATAAGCTTTATGGAGCCGATTTATCACTAGAGAGAGCACTATAAGAAAGAATATCATGAACAGTAGGACAACCAAAAAGAAAAGTTTTCAAATAAGTTAAATATCAGAAATATTTTTGTATCTATTTACTGAGAAATTTTAATGAACTATTTAGTGTGCGCGAAACATCATTGAGGATGGTTGTAGATTAAGATGATAAATATATTCAAAAGTATTCACACACTATTTACATCCAGAATCATGCCCTATGACTATTCTAATAGTATGTAAGTTGAATAGTTTTTTATCATCAATAACTAATATTCAAATGAATTAAAGTATCTAGAAGAATTATAAATTTGTTCAAACTAATATCAATGTTGTCATCATTTTTCATTTGTTTGTTTCGGAGTAACATTTTGTAATTTGAAAACCCATGCCCAATTGCTTGCAAGTGAACATATTTTGATATTTGATAGTTCAATGACGATGCCACCACTTGTGCCAGCTGAACGCCAACTTAATGAACCAACATCTGAGCCAAGGAGTGTTATACTTGTATTTGACGAACTGATTGGTGCACCTAATATAAGTTCAATTGTATTTTTTTGCTAATCAAGAAGACATGCATAAATAAACTGTTTATCGTTGGAAGATGTATACCTACGAAAGATAATGAAAAACTGCAATCTATTATTATTATTATTATTATTTTCTTGAATTTCTTCTTACCAAACATTTTTATTAATTGTATCATTTTGATATTTCCATGGAATGCTATTGTAGATAGCTTCACCGTTAACTTTCAACCATGAACCCATTTGTCGAAGACGTTCTTCGTATATTGGTGAAATTTTTCCATATGATGTTGGACCAACATTAATTAATACGTTACCTCCCGTACTATACTCAATGAAAAGAAATTAAATAGTTAAAAAAATTTTAAATATGCAAAGATATAATAACCTGACAGTGGTTATAATTTGATAAAGGATCTCTTGAATCGTGAGGTAGTCATTAACACCTGATGTACGAATGTAACCACATGAATGTTTGTCGATCTATTAAATAAAATTAGATTAGACTTCACTTCTCATCCAAATCTATATCTCATACAGTAAAGCAATTTTCCCATTTATGTGTAACAAGATGTCCTGGATTGAAACGATCAGTGCTTGTATAAAAACCTCCATGATGACATGGAATGTCAGTACCCCATCGATCATTGGCAATCTTCAGTAGGGTGTGGGTGTGTGGGTGTGGGTGTGGGTGGGTGTGGGTGTGGGTGTGGGTGGGGGTGTGGGTGTGGGTGTGGGTGTGGGTGTGGGTGTGGGTGTGGGTGTGGATCTGAGTGTGAATGTGAGTGTGGGTCTTCTTTTTATCAATGATCCACATTCACATTCACACTCAGATCCAAACCCACACCCATCCACAGCCACAGCCACACCCGCAATTTTCCGCTTTTCACAAGGAAAATTCCGCTTTTTTGGCCCGATGAGGTGGCATCCCTGGTTACTAGTAAAGTAAAGGTAAAGTCCCACCCCTTGCACATATATCTCTAGTGAAATCTGTTAGCGCAATCTCTTTGAGATTAAATTGTCAAAGACAATAAAGCTGTTTATTTTGACGAATCTTATCTGAAGAGAAAGAAAAATATGGATTTCTAAGGATTGGAATTATTAAATCTCAAAAAAACTCGAAAAGACATCGAATTTGCCACCGAATTCAGCGATCCTGTAGTCAGGGTGATCACTGCTCGAATGTGTGTCGCCATCATGGACATAACTTAGCGACTGCCCTAGGTTTCATGCAGTGGATCAATCTAAAAATCAAAAACAAAAAGCAGAAGAGGGCTAATTCTTCTCTTCTCGCTAAGTTATATTCATTGTCACAGTCTGCGATGGAGGCTGGGTCCAAAATTTCTCGCTATATACTTCAACATTCCTTTCCAATCGTGTTTCACAAAAAATACCACCAGAAATAATAGAAGAGATTATTAAAGAAAAGCTTGTCAGCGCAGCCCCTTTTGGGATAAAATGTGAAACTAACATATCTTCTTCAGCTTAATTATCCTAATATAAAATACATCAAGTGAATAATATCTAATAGACCATAGTTAGTTTCAGAACTATTGATCGTCAGAGAAATGATCTTTCCTATTTATATTCGACTTTCGAACGGAAATTTTCTCTTAAATTGTTTTTACTGGCGCTCTGGTTTTTATTTGTTGGTTGGTATTCGCTCGTTATTTATTTTCTTTTTTTTTTATTTTGTTTTTCTTAATCTACCGTTATTTCTATTTATCTAATCATTGATTTAACCGAAGAAACTATCTTTATTAAATTTGAAACGCTGAACTAACTTGTTCATCTCTTTACAATCACTCTTCATTGTTGTCATTATTTCATCGACGCACTTCTCGATTTTTTCGTTTTTGTTCTCGTACTTGACACATATACTCGTTTTTATTTCCTTGTCACTTTTGGTTCTCGACATCGACGTACACGTCCTCTATTTAGTTTTGCAAGATGCTGTTGATGCATCAACAAAACTTCTGTAACCATATCAGTGAATAATGAACTAATAATAAGTTCTGTATCTTCTTCTCCATTATTAGAAGTATTATTTACATTATCCATTATAATTGATTATCACAAAATACAACTAATATAAATGATTTGATAAATATATAATGAACAATTTCACTCAGCAAATAAACATGGCTTCCAATTTTTATCGCGCGCCTGTCTGTAATGGGGGGGGGGGGGGGGTATCTGTAATGGGGATGGAGCCGGAAAACTTCGACTTAAAATTTACACTGACATTTTTATATGTGAGTTCCACAAAATCGGATCGGCCCAGTCCACCCATGGATTTTTTGTCAAAAAAAAATCCGATCCATAGGTGGATTGAGCTTGATCCAGTCCATTAGGACCTCTGGTAGGAATTGTTCTGTAATGGTCAGTAATATATACGCACAAATTCTAAAATATTCTCAAGATTTTGCTTCTCTCATGAATTATGTTATGATTGATATCATACATAAAACAAGTTACTCACATGCAATGGAACATCTAACTCCAATCTTCGATCTCGATTCTGGTGCCAGAGAACACTTTCAGTTATATCTTGACAAATTTCTGGATTCGACCATACCAACTACCGTCTCTCTCTCTCTCTCTGCATCTGACACTTTGACAACATTGATTTTTTCTATTTAGTCAAATAAAATCACTGGTAGTCTTTTATTAAACGATAGGATTGATAGTCTATGAGTAGATTTCTAATCGGCATGATCAAGCGTCACGGAATTTCACTAAATGGAATTAGTGTTTAGAGTTGGATGAGAGTTTAGCATTTTACTATGAAATGAAGCAACATTAAAATAAATCTTCTATGTGAAAGTTATTCAGTTTTCTACAAGCTTTCAGAATATCAGATCATTTCTTAACGAGCATAATTGTGTCGAATAAAAAACTAAAACTAGTGTCTGTCAGAGAATTTCGTCGTTTTTTTTGACGTTTTAATGGAGAAGCTTTGAGAAGTTAAAATTTCAAATGATCATGGTTAAAATTTATCTTTTTTTTTTCTAATCCACGAGTAGTACGGAGATAATTTTATTGTTCCATTAATTAAATTTTATTCTCATAATGAAATCACATTAGAACCTTTGTCTATCTTTTCCGCAAAAAATGCAATTTAACAGGATGCAAAACTATACTTTTTTTCGTGAAATTAGTCAATAAATCGCTTTCTTAGACACTTCTTAGAGAAAAAATAGTGTTTGTCACTCATCAATAGAGTATCTCAGAGTTTGTAGCATATTTCATAATCTGTTGATAGTGCACTTTCGATTGTAGAGAGCATTTTCTTTCCTTTTTCTCAGTTTAAACCTTCCGCATGCGATGATGGCCAATGCCTCGCCATGCCATAATGTCAACATCATACTTTGCGCTATCAAGAGCATCGTACATAATAAACATCATGACGAAAGAAGAATGACCTGACGAATACACTGATAATGAATAACACAAAAATTTTAGACAGAAAGAAAAAGATCATCATTTAATTGTGATAGTCTAATAATGAGATAAATATTTTTTTTTTTCATTGTTCTCATTAGACGGCAGCGAGAAAAAAGAAACATATATAAATTGAAACGAATAGATATTAAGAATTAAAGATGAACACTGCAAATAAAAATCATCTCAATATACTTGATTTGTCGAATGAAATTTTACTCATCATTTGTAAGAAATTGAATATGGTCGATGTTCTTTATTCACTTGTGGATGTTAATGAACGATTTGATCAATTAATACTCGATCATCTCTATATTCGTCATCTTAATATGACCACCATGACCATCAGATCAGTATTTGATCGTATCTATTCAATTGATGATCAAGTTCTTTCAAGAATTTGTGAACAAATCTTACCTCGAATTCATCATCAAGTAAATCAACTTACTGTCGATCCATATTCAATGGATCGTCTTCTTACTGTTAATTATTCTCAACTTTATTCGTTATCACTTGTTGATTTTCAGGAAAAAATTCTTCTGCAATATTTAAAAGGTAAATTACTTCATTTTATTCATTATTAATTAACAAAATAATGAAATTCTTAAAATATAAATTAAGAATTGTTTTTTTTTTAATTTAAGGTAATTCAATTCTCAGTGATCTTCTTTCTGAACAAATTACACATCTCTCTATTGATATGGAAGTTAAGACTAGCATGCCACCATTATCTAAAACTGTATCAAAGATATTTGTCTTGATTTTATCATTATGTAAACGATTGATCTCTTTAAATTTTTGTTCATCATATCGTTATCGTTTAATGGCGATCCATATTTTCAAACCATCAACAACAAATTGCATATCTTCAACATTAACTACATTGAACATTAATGTCGACAATTTTGCTGATTGTCTTTATCTTCTTGATGGACGACTCAATTGTTTATCAACGTTGATTATTCGTGTCCTAAAAATTCCACCTGTCATATCAAAGATAAAGAATACGGTTAGTTTTGTTTCGATCATTTGTTTTTGAAGGAAAAAATACGAAACCAAATAGATGCATATTCTTAATTTTTGTTTTTTTTTTTTGATAGAAAAAACTTCCTAAATTGAAATCTTTTTCATTGACTTCAGTTTATATAACAATGGCTTATGATAATTTAATTATTCCATTACTTCGTCGAATGATAAATCTTGAAGAATTGAAATTATTCTTATCAGTAATAAGATTTGACTCGACTTATATTGATGGTATTCAATTACACGATGAAGTCCTTATTTATATTCCACGATTAAACAAATTAACTTTCAGTATAGATACAATTTTATTCAACAACAATATTAAAATTGATCATAGATCGAATGAAGAAATTCGACGTAGTTTTATTGGAAGAGTATATGGACAAATTGGTTCAGATGTTCAAACTATCGTAATGAAGAACAAAGGTATGTGTCATGTTTATTCGCTTCCATATCAATTTGAAGACTTTTGTCGTCTGAACAATTCTTTCCAAGGTGGTATGTTTGATAAAGTTCAGTGTTTGGTTATGATTGATGAAATATATCCTTTTGAACATCATTTCTTCCAATTAATCTCTCAAGATTTTCCTTTTCTCAAAGAATTATACATAGTTAATTGTCACCCACAAAAAGATAAACAACATTCATCTACATTGATTAGATTTCCTTATCTTTGGCTTCTTGATATAGACATGGCACATATGGATTATGTTGAAGAATTTCTCTTCGATAAAAACATTCATCTACCTCGTTTATTAAATCTTTCTATTAAATACGAATCATTCGCAATAGTTACAAACAATTTTACAAATGATGCAGCACGTGTCACTTGTGGTAAATTGAAATATCTTGAAATATCTGAACCATTTGTTCGTCCAGAAAATTTTCATCAATATTTTCCTTTATTATTATAATCATTTTTTTGTGTGTTAAAAATTCTATCAATAAAAGAAAGGAGTTTGCGAAAGTCAAATATATATTTTAATCATGATGATCAAGTGAAATAAAATCATTTAAATAAGAAAAAAAAAAGAAATATTTTCCATGTGTGATATACTTCAACATGGAATAGATTTATTGTTATTTACATCTATCTATTTACATTTTTAGAAAAAGATGAATAAGATACTTTTGATCAACAATAACTTTTGATCAACAATAACTTTTGATTTTTCTTATTTTAAGCAGAACTAATAAAACATGTTTTCACACAACAAATTAACTAGTTTAGAAAGGAAAAGAAATCTTTTCATTTTTGTTTTTGTTGATCATTCTCTACTAGATCAATTTGTTCATATTATTGATTGATAATCATGAGAAACCTCTTGAAAAAAAGCTTTCTTTTTCATATTGTTCAATTTTCTATTCTCTGTCAATCATATGTTAGAAAATGCAAAAAAGAAAAATATAGAAACATGATATAAAACATCAAACTGACATTCAACAAATATTGTTCTTTGAAAGAAAAATCAAAAAGAATTTGGTTTAATTATTTTTATTAATGGTTTTAATTACTCATTGTTCGCCATTGTTGAGAAAAATAAAGTTTGAATTTTAATCAAATTCTCTTATGTTAATTATATATTTATTTAAATAAAACAAAAATATGATCAATATTATGTAATGCTTGACATATAGATTCTATGCAATAATCACCAATTACTTAGTAGATACAGAATATTTAATAAAGTACGCATTGATAAAAATTCTTTTGAGTTAATCAATTATGACGAAAAATCAAATCATCAATCTTCATTTATGTTATTATAGAATTAC